GGTTGCACGCCGTATCGTGCATGTATCGTTCCGAGTAGCGCACTTAGCGCAACAGCGTTTTAACCCAGTTTCTCGTATCGATAGGTAGCAATCTGAAAGGAGAGAGAAAATCGAAAAGAGACGGCGAAAGCACCGCTAATGCTCTTTCGCATTAACACTCGAAGTAAAGTATGCCCTCGGTGTAAAAAGCGGTAATCGATGAAGCGACCCCATTGGCCGATGAGGTTCAGGGGTGAAATTCTCCCCTACGGTTGGTTGGAGGGAGCAGCCCTCCCATTGGTTCGCTCCAGCTTTGTCGATGGATCCACCCATCGGAAACTTACCAGGAGAAGTTTCTTCCCTCTGGGAACCCTGGACGTCCATTCTGAGTTTTCCCGAATGCATCCGCCGTTCGCTCTAGGAGAGTGCAAACGGCGATAAAGAACGATAAACGTGTTGTTCTCTTCACGAGGGACTCGATATAATTATACATCCCTGGTAGCATAGAATATCTCCTAAATATTGCTCTCGTAATCTTCGCTAAATATCTCAAGCGACAGATTTTTTAAGACGTCTTGTAGATTTCATTTGGAGATATCCAAAATGTTTCTTGAAAGTCTCGATGACATATTTAGTTTCAATAATTTAGAAACATGTGTCGAAATTATATTTTTTTAAATTTATTAACATATAATGAAAATACATTTTTTACTTTACAATTATTATCGGACACTTCGGTTTGTTATTAAGAGGCACGAAAAATTGTTTGCAATGGTTTCGTTTGGCTATTTCATTATGGGAGCAAGACGTGTGATTTCGATTTTAAATATTTTTAAAACGTTTAAAATGTATTCGACGGATGATATTGAAGAAACACTTATATTTAAATGGAACGAAATGTTTCTGTGCATCTGTAAGAAACAATATTACGGAAAAATATGGAGCTAATTTTATACATATATTATAAAAATAATATTCTATGGTAAATCTAGATATTTAATTGAATATTTTTTTAATACCAAGGACGAGGATTTTCTTTTAAAATGAGAAATTGCCGGTTAAATTGTGCTAGAATAAAATCGAAGATCTAGATATTTAATTGAATATTTATATATATATATCAAGGACGTGAGTTCTCTTTTACAATGAGAAATTGGCGGTTATCCGGAAAGCGGGTGTAGTTCCTGGGAGAAATTTTCTGGGTCGCGCGGTATTTTATTCCGGCGATAAATCCAAGAGGGTCAAGATTCACCCTGAGAAAGTCGAGGCACCGCCCTCTTCCGCACTTTTTGACTTTTCGAAGTGGCGGCACCGCCGGGGTGCCTACAAAGGGTGGCTGAATACACCGGAAACTCGCCCCCGTCCTTCGGCTTCCCGTTTACCTGTGCCTTCGATTCAGGTCTCGAAAATTGTACGGCCATCCGGCCGAAACCCAAAGTGGAAGTACAAAGTCGCAACCTTTATCTGGAATACTGATACTACCGATTCCCACGTGGCCTTAGAAACTCGGCGAAACTGGGCTGCCGACTTTCCCGAATGACAAAAGGGAAAAGAGAATTTCATTTTAACTCCTTCGCTTACAATATCGTGTGAGAGACGTGGTATATCAATCGGGCCAAACGTGAACAAAACGTATGAGAGACGTGTGAGACTTTGAACATTCAGCCAAATCATGAAATGGCCCGATGTATGACCGACATTTTTCTTGTTTATGGCACGCGCTATTGGAATTTAAATCGTAAGGAAAGGGGTTTAATCCTCTGTGTCCAGTAATCGGAGCTTGCACTCGATTGCATCGATAACCCACCCTGCCTTCTCTTCTGTTAAAAATCCTAATTAAAATTTCTTCTTACCTCCCCCAACTTGTACAATTTCAACATTTCTCTTCTCATACATATCTACAATTTCAACATTTCTCTTCTTATACATATCTACAATTTCAACATTTCTCTCCTTATACATATCTACAATTTCAACATTTCTCTTCTTATACATATCTAAATGAGGCTGAACTTATTAACATTTATTAATACATATTATCGGAAGAAATTGTTAAGGTGATATGAAAGGGTCATTCTATATATATATATAACTTGTCTCCAAACTGGATGCATCAAATCATTTGAAACTTCGACACGTGATTATGGAAGAAGATACAGAAAATGTGGAAAAATTAACATCCAGCCGTATATCGGATAGAGATAGATAGAGAAGCGAAAGCAGCACCCTAGAGAATTTTTTCTTTTCACCTTGACCTGAATTCTTATGTTATTAATTATCCACCCTCTTCTGCCTCTAGCTTTAACAAATTATTGAGGATCTAGATAATTAATTGAATATTTCTTTTATGCCAAGGACGAGGATTTTCTTTTAAAATGAGAAATTGCCGGTTAAATTGTGCTAGAATAAAATCGAAGATCTAGATATTTAATTGAATATTTATATTATTAATTCGTATTATATATATATCAACATAAGGCCCACCCACCCCCCTGTGCCTCTAGAGCTTCTAGGAAGGCACTCGGGTTTGCGAAGCAACCCTTCCGAGGGTGCTACCCCATCGAGTCGTCCGGCTCTTCTGCTCATGCGCGTGCCAGCCCCACCAAGAGTGCCTTCCAGGGGTTGGAGGGAGGTCTGGAAAGCGTCCGGAAAGTTTCCGAATGCCCAGGAAAGTTGCTGATCCCGCCCTTGAGCGCCGCCCCTGGCGTCAAGGGTGCTTGACAGCCGAAACGGGTCGGAGGTAGGGAACACTAGCCGTCAAGTGCTCGTCGAGGACACTCAGAAACTACAAGAAGTCCTCCACCCCGCTAAAAACGGCCCTCTCCTCGCGCAAAACCGAAGTCGAGACCTCGGGGACCCGATTTTGACAATCAAGGGCCAAACCTTCGAAGAAGGAGGACCTCGACTCGACAGTGGACCTCGGAAGTGCGATCAGCTGATTATTTCCGAGTTTTCGACAAAGTTCATACCTCTTCCGGTGTTCTCTTGGTGACTTTTGGTTAAGTGACGCGTTCTTCCGGTGTACGATGTACCGATGATTGGTAGTTCCTTATTGAGAGTGCAAGCGCAGGGAAGAGGACTCAAGATGGCGGAGAAAAATAAGATCCTGCCCTGGCCTTTGCTTCCGTATCCTGCGAGTTTGCTCAATCATGTCTGGTACAGCCAACTGGCCCTGAACACGAGGTAAAGACATCGATTAGTTCGACTTCCGGAACGATTTTTCTCTTGTAACGAGGGTAGTTTACTCTACGAGCTGGCGCAGGGTCTCTGTAATAATTTCCACACCTGCGAAATGAATAATTACCTTCAAGGATTGATATACACGTGGAGTGAAATTGCCGGCATTTTTTTCTGCCGCGATGAGCCGGTGATTTCAATGCCTGGTATATGGAGTGTCGCGCCGAGGTGCCGCGGTAATTATTGTCTACCCTGACAAAGATCTATGGGAATTTACGTACATTTTTGCACACTTCATACTTGGTTTCACGTAGAAAAATGTAAAATGAAGGAAGTACACGTTAGATAATGTGTAAATATACCTAACATTGTATGTTTACCGTATTGGAACATTTTCGCTTGAATTTCATGTAATATTACTTCATAATTTTCCGTAATTTAACTCAGATGCTGAATCTTATATTACAGAGACGTCATTTTACTGTAATTTATTGTCGCATCAAAATAAGCAATGATCGAGGGGGCAAATTTACGGGGGCATTTTTTACAGGGTGGCGCGTTGCAAAGTATAAATAAAATGGAATGCACGGTATCTAAGTGTTAAAGAAACGTTTCGAAACAATGCAGTCTTTGATAAAATGTACAATCGCGTCGCATTAATTGCGAGTCAATTTTCCTGTGCATATCTTTCGGCGAACTTTCCTTTGTAAAACACCAAGTGCAACTTCTTCCTGGTTCTGTGTTTGAGATTCTCGAATTCTAAAGAGGCGTAAGTCGGGAGCGTGTCACGATACGACGTCTCATTAATTGCGAATGAATTTTCCTGTGCATATCTTTCGGCGATAAATTCCATTGAAATACCCCAAGTGTCTCTTTGAAGAAGGAAACTTCTTCCTGGTTCTATGTTTTTCTCGAATTCTAAAAAGATATGAGTCGGAAGCGTGTCACGATAATATGCCGTTTAGCTTATTGCCTAAAAAGTTTGGTCCGGCAGGTACCACAAAATGTACAATCGCGTTCCATTAATTGCGAATTAATTTTCCTGTGCTTATCTTTCGGTGAAAAGTTTCATTTAAAGACCCCAAGTGTCTCTTTGAAGAAGGAAAATTTTTCCTGGTTCTATGTTCAAGATTCTCGAATTCCAAAAAGATATGAGTCGGGAGCGTGTCACGATAATGGGCCGTTTAGTTTAGTACCTAAATAGCATGGTCCAGCAGGTACCATAAAATGTAGAATCGCGTCCCATTAATTGCGAATTAATTTTCCTGTGCTTATCTTTCGGTGAAAAGTTTCAATTAAAGATTCCAAGTGCCCCTTTGAATAAGGGAACTTCTTCTTAGGCGTTAAACACCTGGTTCTATGTTTGAGATTCTCGAATTCCAAAGAGGCGTAAGTCGGGAGCGTGTCACGATAATGGGCCGTTTAGCTTAGTGCCCGAAAAGTTTGGTCCGGCAGGTCAGGTTGTTTGGGCCTCCAACCAGGTAACCATGGGCGAGGGTTTCGGAAAAAGACACGTTTAATCGCCTCTTAAAAGGCCGGTGGCTTCTTGACGGGTGTCACGCCGTTTCCGGCGGGGTCCAGGCGTTTTCAAAAATTGGATTGGTCCTCGAAAGTCCTGGCCATTGTGCCGTCGTTTCCACGACTCGAAGAAAGTGCCCACCCGGAACCGCTCGGACCCCTTTAATCTCAAAATCTGGTGACACGGATTTTTCCAGCTCGCCCATTTTTCCACCGACCCACAAGATTCGCCAGGACTCGCCATTTTCGCCCAGCATTTTCCTGACAATTTCTTAAAATTCGTCGAACTTCCTAAAATAACCTTTCGTCCCGTTTTCTATTTACAGACTGCTCGAAAGCATGAAGATGCCAGCCAGGACTTCCGGTTTCCACATCAGCGACATCCTCGAGCTGAACGACCCCAAGCCGTCGCACGATGATGCCGAAATTCAAGGTGAATATTAAGGATCATTTTTCTAGTCCCTAAGAAATTCAAGGTGCTGACTTTTAAGGTTACCCCGAACTTGTGTATGGATTTAATCGTTATATATATATTTTTTTTTAATTTGCTTTTCCAGGAGGTAATACGATTTTGCCGCCCACCACTGATGTTCCTTCGGCGTATCAGCAGCTTTTGGAACACACGACGGCGATGTTGCAGCCCTCTGTACATGCAAATTTAACCAGGGGTTCGTTACCGCCACCACCACCCGGTTTGCTAGGATGGCCGACGGGACCGACTTTGCCGTCGGCGATGCCTCAACCCCTGGAAGAAGTCAATGGTGAGTACCCAAAAAAAGATTGCTTTATTTAACGGTGTCGAAAAATCATAAAGCCCCGACTCCAACAACCGTAATTAACGTTAGTTAACCGTAGTTAATATTTTCGGCTGCGCCACCCCGGATTACAGCTAACAGAGGATTAAGAAACCGTAGCTACCCTAGTAGCACAAAATATTTCTCCGATATTTTCTATATATTTAACGAATATCGTACATTTTGTAAATATTTAGCGGACATTTGAAATATTTGCCAAACGTTTACTTTAGAATATTATCTCTATAANTTCGATTCTCATATCAGAGCCTTCGATAATTGTATATTGATCGAAATATGAGAGCTCGACGCCATTTTGGTTCTGGTCTGGGCTGAGTTAAAAAATTTGGTTAAAAAAACCCAACTTTGAATGTGTCGGGACAATTCTTAGATGATCAGGAGTGATGTGTCAAAGTTTCGGACAGTTTGGTCTAATAGCCTTAAAAAAAAGTGTTGTATTCGAATCGACTGATTTGAAGGGGGTTTCACTTCACCTTAAGGTCTCAATATTATTTATATTATATTTACCTTCATGGGTTTTCATAATATTTTTCTACCAGATATACAAGACATTTCGTTTCATTTTAATACAAGTATTTTCTTTTTTTTAAATATCTGCCGAATACATTGTAAATGTTTTAAAAATATTTAAAATCACACGTTTTGCTCCCATAATGAAATAGCGGAACGAAGGTATTAGAAGAATTTCTCGTGTTTTTTTGATATCAAATGAAGTGTCCGATAATAGTCGTAAAGTAAAAAAATGTATTTTCATTACATGTTCATAAATTAAGAAATACAATTTCTATATATGTTTATAAATTATTGAAACTAAATATGTCACAACAAAATCTGTCGATTGAGATATTTACCAAAGATTACAAAGAGATATTTAGAAATTATTCTATGCTACTAGGGTATATGGTGGAGTTAAATGTACATCGTATTCGTACTTAAAATCAATTGAAACGTACTTACACGCGTAGCATTTTGTGCCGAAAAGTAAATACAAGTGAAGAAAATGCGATTGTTCTCTAACGTCGAGATTAGCGGAGAAATTCGAGATGAAATATTGTCCCCGTTATCGGTATCAGCGGCTTATCGAGTAGCATTACGTGCAACTACGGGTCGTAGATAGGAAGATGTTGGGAATCGAGAAAATCTTGCACAAACTGACTTATCGTGACTACATGTTCCTGTAGTTGCATTGACCAGGGAAATTCGTAAAGAAAATTTCTTATTTATGGGATTTAGTTGTAAAGAAATTAAATCATCGCTGTCTGGATAATCAGAGATTTTAAGTACGTATCATCAAATGCTATTTAGTCGCAATTGTTTAAATCTGACGACTGCACAAAGACGTTTGATTTGTTTTGCAACTACGCAGACGACTATGGAAAGTAGTAAAAAATGGTCGAGATACTTTGTCGGATTTTTGGCAGACGTTTAGTCGTTCCCCCTACTTTGGCACTCCCCTTCCTCGGTTGGTCGAGCCGTTTGTAGGTTAGGGATATGTTGCAACCCTTATTTATTTAGCACCCTACAATTGGTCCGCGTCGCCTAAGCAGGATCTAATAGTCCTATAAAAGGTCCTGGTATCCTGTCCGGGATTGGTCGGTCGAAGGAGACAGATGTCCCCGAGGGGACAGATGCGTACGACTTGGGCCCGAGATGAATCGGAATTGTCACGCCCAAAAATGCATTGTTGGGGGCTAAGGCCTCCCATTTTTTAACGCCTTTGCAGTTTCGAGAAGTCGGATGGACGGCCGCGATCCCCCTCGAGTGTATCCGACCGCTAGGAATTAAATTTGCCAAATTCCTTGTACACACTTTCCTTTAATGTGAGGTGAAACACCTCGAGGAATTTGATCATCGACATCGGTAACAAAAGGTTTCTCTAAGTACCTACGTTGCCTAAATCGAAGTAAAACTCCAAAAATCCCCTGAATTCATGGTTTCCGAGGCTCTAATTGACTGTAGAGGGACCCCCTGCGCCATCTGTGATTTTCGTGTCTACTAAATTGTCGGACAATTGTCCTGACCCTTTCGTTTATCATATTAGAGCCTCAAATAATTGTATATCGATCGAGATATGAGAGCAGGACGGCATTTTGGTTCTGTCCATACTGGTCATACTGGTGTTAAAAAAAAGAAAATTTGTTACCGATGTTACGAGTAGAAAAATGAAAATGAAAGATCCGTGTCACGGTTTGAATTTAATTGGGCATTGTTCCTCGTATAAAACTATAAGACACCCTCCTGCAGGCGGGTTCTAATTGAAATCACATACCGACTGGCAGTGGAGAGTAATCTCCCATGAAAACGATATGGCTGATGCCAAGGGGTCCCCAGGGGTGTGTAGCTATCAAACAGTCCTTATATTGGTTCACACCCTCCCTAACCAAGGTTTAGGGCTAGTCCATACAAAGGCACATTGTTAACACGGGCCAGAAGCCGCGATTCGTTGTTCCACGTTAAGTGAAGCGGTCTCTAACGTCCGTCGGACACAGTTCCGTATTCTTTTTTCCCCTCCACCTGGATTGGGGAGACTTGACCGTTTTACATTACATCGATTACTCTTATAGGAGAGACGCGGTTTAGATGCTAGGAGAGAAAAGGTTGCGTGCTCACGAGGGGGTGGTGGCGTTTAAAAAATTATTGTTCTACGTTACCCACTTGCGCTGGCAGCTAAATCAATGATCCACAGATTCTCGACGTACGTGGCACGTCTTTCCAACGCAAGTGGTTAAGTGAAGCGGTCACTAACGTTCGTTGAACATAGTTTCCGTTTTCTTTTTTCCCCACCACCTGGATTGGGGAATCTTGACAATTTTACATTAGATCGATTACTCTTATAGGAGAGACGCGATTTAGATGCAAGGAGAGAAAAGGTTGCGCGCTCACGAGCGGGTGGTGGCATTTAAAAAATTATTGTTCCACGTTAAGTGAAGCGGTCTCAAACGTCCGTCGGGCACATTTTCCGTTTTCTTTTTTCCCCTCCACCTGGATTGGGGAGACTTGACCGTTTTACATTAGATCGATTACTCTTATAGGAGAGACGCGGTTTAGATGCAAGGAGAGAAAAGGTTGCGTACTCACGAGGGGGTGGTGGCGTTTAAAAAATTATTGTTCCACGTTAAGTGAAGCGGTCTCTAACGTCCATCGGACACATTTTCCGTTTTCTTTTTTCCCCTCCACCTGGATTGGGGAGACTTGACCGTTTTACATTAGATCGATTACTCTTGTAGAAGAGACGCGGTTTAGATGCTAGGAGAGAAAAGGTTGCGTGCTTACGAGGGGGTGGTGGCGTTTAAAAAATCGATGCCCCGTTGCATCTGGCCGCAATCAGGGCTAAGAGCCGATGATTCGGCCGAAATGTGCAGCTGCACTTTGTTGCCGCAGTGCCGATAATGGATGCGGTTGCATCCGTAATTACGGACACGTCATTTAGGATTGGAGTAAGAATTTTCTGGCGTTATAGAGGAACCCTAAAGACTGGAATAAAGGTTCTGCATTTTAAGGTGAAGTGAAACACGTCGAGGAACTTGATCGACCACTATCAAGAAGATTTTTCTAAATGCCGACGTTCGTTTTTATATTGACAGCTGGGTCGAATTATATCGGGTATTGTACCAAATGGCATACTCCACCTGTCGTTTTCCTAGCTATCCTAACACTTTCGATTCTCATATCAGAGCCTTCGATAATTGTATATTGATCGAAATATGAGAGCTCGACGCCATTTTGGTTCTGGTCTGGGCTGAGTTAAAAAATTTGGTTAAAAAAACCCAACTTTGAATGTGTCGGGACAATTCTTAGATGATCAGGAGTGATGTGTCAAAGTTTCGGACAGTTTGGTCTAATAGCCTTAAAAAAAAGTGTTGTATTCGAATCGACTGATTTGAAGGGGGTTTCACTTCACCTTAAGGCATCTTAAGATCTCCGCGCAGTTAGCGTTAGCAGATAAGGAACGATCGTATCTCGTCGATGACGGAAATTCTCTGCGTTTGTTGCAGTTCTTCAGCAGCCCGACTCGACCAGCCCGACGATTTCCGACCTGAGTTTTCCATCTCAGCAGGAAAACGGGCATGAATCCAAAGACGAGGAGCAGGAGTTCGAGGAAGAGCAGCAGACAAACGAGTCCCAGTCCCACGAGGGCGAGCATAAAAAGAGGAAGCGACGAGTCCTGTTCTCCAAGGCGCAGACCTACGAGCTGGAGAGACGATTCCGACAGCAGAGATACCTCAGCGCTCCAGAACGCGAACATTTGGCCTCCATCATCAGATTAACCCCGACCCAGGTCAAGATCTGGTTCCAGAATCACAGGTACAAGACGAAGAGAGCCGCGACCGAGAGGGTGGAAGCAGGCGGTAGTGGGTGTTCTCCAAGGAGGGTGGCGGTTCCGGTGCTGGTCAGGGATGGGAAGCCTTGTCAGTCCAAGCTCATGGAACCTGCGGCATATCCTGGGGCAGGACAGGTGCCGATGGCTCCCTATATGCAGAAACCATACTGGTGGTAATTTCCGAGGAGTACCTATGTTTTATCGTTGGATCGACTTCGACCTAGGTGCAGAATCAAGAGGTGCATCCTGCATAGGGAGTGGTGGTTCCAGTGCTGATCAGGGATGGGAAGTCTTGTTAATCCAAGCTTATGGAACCTGCGGCCTATCTTGATGGAGGGCAGGTGCCGATGGCTCCCTACATGTAGAAACCATCCTGGTGGTAATTTCCGAGGAGTACCTATGTTCTACCGTTGGATTGACTTCGACCTAGGTGCAGAATCAAGAGGTGCATCCTGCATAGGGAGTGGTGGTTCCAGTGCTGATCAAGGATGGAAAGCCTTGTTAGTCCAAGCTTATGGAACCTGCTGCCTATCTTGAAGGAGGGCAGGTGCCGATGGCTCCCTACATGTAGAAACCATCCTGTTGGTAATTTCCGAGGAGTACCTATCTTCTACCGTTGGATTGACTTCGACCTAGGTGCAGAATCAAGAGGTGCATCCTGCATAGGGAGTGGTGGTTCCAGTGCTGATTAGGGATGGAAAGCCTTGTTAGTCCAAGCTTATGGAACCTGTGGCCTATCTTGATGGAGGGCAGGTGCCGATGGCTCCCTACATGTAGAAACCATCCTGGTGGTAATTTCCGAGGAGTACCTATCTTCTACCGTTGGATTGACCTCGACCTAGGTGCAAAATCAAGAGGTGCAGAATCAAGAGGTGCATCCTTCATAGGAAGTGGTGGTTCCGGTACTTATCAGGGATGGGAAGTCTTGTTAATCCAAGCTTATGGAACCTGCTGCCTATCTTGATGGAGGGCTGGTGCCGATGGCTCCCTACATGTAGTAGAAACCATCCTGGTGGTAATTTCCGAGGAGTACCTATCTTCTACCGTTGGGTTAACCTCGACCTAGGTGCAGGTTCATGAGGTCTTGAGAACCGGGCAGAGGGAACTGCGACCAAGATGGTGCAAGCAGGTGAAAATGGATGTTTTATGGAAACCATCCTTCATGGGAAGTGGTAGTTCCAGTGCTAATCAGCGATAGGGAACCGGTGCAAGATTATAGAACCTGCATCGCGCCATCATGATCATATTGCATCGAGGTCATGGTGCTGGGGAAAAAAAAAAAAACAACCTGATGGTTACCAATACTCGAGAACCGTACTGGTGATAATTCCTAAGGGGTATTCGCCTCTGAAGGTACTTTCGAAAAGAACTACGACCAATATGTTGCACGCGAGTTAATGTGGGTGATCCATGGAGAACATCCTTTAGGGGGAGCGAAGGTTCCGGGACTGGTAGGAGATGGAAAATTGGTGCAACATCGTGATTTTTGATTCGTGCGTCGTGACTTTAGTGCATGGAGATTTTGGTGCCGGAACAGTATTGATAGTTACCGATACTCAGGAATCGTACTAGTGGTCATTCCTGGGATAGTGGGACGAACTACTCGATCCTAGAGAACGGAGTCGCGAAGTGCGGAAATTTAGATCCTTTGAACGATTTCTTTCTATGCTCGATTCGGAGTTTGGAAAAAGGACCTTCCGTGGTGATCGCGACTTCTATCGAAACCAAAGACGCGATCTTGGGCCTCGTTTAGATCCCCTTGTTTAAAGACACCCAGTGATTGCGGGGACATCTTTATATAAATACGTATACATAGATAGATAATTGAAGGAAACGTGAGTTTTTGTACAGGTGTTTAGAGGTGTGAAGAGTTCAAATTAGTCATAGTTCGCAGACGAGGTTTTTGGGCTGATTGAGACAATTGTCCTGTCAAGGGTCAACAGTCAAGCGGCGAAATCGTTCTTTATCAAATCTTGGGATGGAGATATCTACCAAGAGGAAGCAATCTTTCAATTAATTTTCATATAACATTCCAATTAATTTTCATATAACATTTCAATTAATTTTCCTTAATCCTCCAAATTTCCGGAGATTTTAGTAAATTTGAAATATTGCGAAATAGTGTCGTCGAGATCAAGATGAAATGGCCTGCTGATATGTTAGTCTCGCTGTTTGAGAACATCTTCGGCTACTTGATAAGGACGGTTTCGACGCGGAATTCCTGCGTTATCAGTGACGGACGTTTTTCACGAAGATATTTCCCGAGGACGGCAGATCGATGAGTTTTTGCGGCGAAATCGGATTTTTGTTCGGAGGAATCGAAGGACGATCACCGCGTTCGAATTTTTCTCTGAAGCGATGACGTCTTTTTTTTTTTAGAAATTAATAAAAATCTCCTCGGTCACCTTCCGTTGCGCAACTTCCTCGACGACGTGATGCCCTCGCGTAATATCTGCGATGTCCCGGGACTGTTTAACGATAAGGCGGTAGATAAAGGTCTTCTATCTGGTACACGTGGGCAAAAATTATAAAAGTTGGCCTCGAAGAAATGTCAACTTTTTTCTTTTTTTTTTTCTCCTTTCTTTTTCATACTGGCGGCCATCAATCACGTACGCGAATCGAAATGCCGAGTCCAGTATTTGGTGATAAACCCCGATTCGAGCTGCAACATCGCTTATGTTTAATTATCGTCATCAGCAGATACAATAAGAAATGTCGCCTTCGAATCTATGGCCCTAAAAAATGAAATTTTTCCAATTAATTGTCCACTCATAGGCGGTGTTGCGGAACCGAAGTCGCCTAGAATACATCATAGCTGCAAAATACGACTTGCATTGCGGACGTAATGTCGGTGTGGTGTAAAGTAGTACCTGTACTTACGTTCTTTTTTTCTTTTGCGTACTAAGAGTGGGCATGAGAATAATTCACCCGTTCTCATATCCGCCGCTATCTTAAGATGATATGAAAGTGTCATGTATACATACCAAAAAGTGGAAACATCGATAAAACTTTTCTCCATATTGGGGGCACCGAATCATTTGAAACTTCATCTAGAAATTGTGGAGGCCGTAAGGAAGAACGCGATTCTCGTGAGATTTTATTGTTCTAGAAAAGAAAAAAAAGATTTGTATCTATCTCGGACAAAAACCAAATGTGCCCATAATTATGAAAGTGGTCTAAGTCAAAATTAAAAAAAAAATGAGTATCAGTTATTTCACGCCATATTATTTCAAACGAAATTAATTCAATGTAATTTCGAAACAAAAAATATATGACTTAGACCACTTTCATAATTATGGGCACAAATAAGAGACAGTTTTTGTGGAGATATGAAATTTCACGAGCATCGCGCTTTTCCTTAGGGGCTACGTAATCACGTGTTAATGTTTCAGTTTCATTTAATTCGGTGCACCTAGTTTGGCGAAATGTTGTATAAATATTTTCAGGCTTTGAGATATATATAGATATATATGATGACCCTTTCATATCACCTTAACTCGCGCTCGTATGATCCGAATCGGAACCCTGAAGCGCGGGGGGCAAATAAAAGGAATCCCAGTTATCGTCTCTCGTCGTAGTATTTATCAGGCCACATTTCGAAGTTGGTTGTGTAATCCCCGAGTGCGTAGTTTCATTGAAACCTCGAGATCGTTCAGGGCATACAGCGGATTTCGGAACACGGCTGCAGTAGGATGTATATATGTACATTGTGTATGATAAATAGTCAACTAATATATCAGGCGCATATTTAATAAATCGATTTAAAAAAAAGAAAGAAAAGGATACTTCACTTCGTCACGGTCACTTTCCTGACAAAGGTTCATCAAAAAATTCATACCTTAGCCATACCAAATCATATATCCTCGAAGAATCTACAGCATTCGAGGTAACGATTTTTTAACCTGGAATTAAGATAATCTTCGATTAACGTGCTAGTTCATTTGGGCAAAGCTTTTTCGTAGTATCTACTTTTATGTGAATTGTCACGTGTAGTTCTGGGTAATATTTCCGGATTTGCCATTACCCTAGTAGCACAAAATATTTCTCCTATATTTTCTATACATTTAACGAATATCGTACATTTTGTAAATATTTAGCGGACATTTGAAGTATTTGCCAAACGTTTACCTTAGAATATTATCTCTATAATATTTATATAATATTAGCTCCACGTGTTTTCATAATATTCTTCTACCAGATGTACAAAACATTTCGTTTCATTTTAATACAAGCATTTTTTAAATATTATCTTTCGAATATATTATAAACGTTTTAAAAATATTTAAAATCGAATTCAGACGTCTTGCTCCCATATTGAAATAGCGGAACGAAAATATTAGAAAAATATCTCGTGTTCTTTGATACCAAATGAAGTGTCTTATGATAGTAGTGAAGTAAAAAATGTGTTTTTATTACGTTAATAAATTAAAAAATATAATTTCTCTGTAGGTTTATAAATTATTGATACTAAATATGTCATTGAGATTTTCAAGAAATATTTCAAATATCTTCGAATGAAATCTACAAGAAATCTTAACAAAACCTGTCGCTTGGGATATTTAGCAAAGATTACAAAGAAATATTTATAAATTATTCTATGCTACTAGGGTATCATTTTGTGTTTTATTTGGGGCATCTTTGTCATATCTTTTGGAGCTTCTGGTCCATATCGATTTGGTGCTCTTTCGCATCGCGAAACACTCGAGATTCTCCTACGACTTTCCGGTAATATTTCCGGATTTGCTATTATCACTTTGTGCCTTATTTGGGGCATCCTTGTCATCTCTTTTGGAGCTTCTGGTCCATATCGATTTGGTGCTCTTTCACATCGCGAAACACTCGAGATTCTCCTACGATTTTCCGCGGGCGTTCCCTCTTTCGGGACACGCCGGAAGTCCCTGCCGTTTCAGCGACACGCTTCCGGCTTCCGGCTTCCGTTTCCGAGCGGCCATCTTGTTACCGGTTTAGATTTCCTGCTTTCGTCCCCTTCGAGCGTGGACTTCGCGCTCCGTCGGCTCCTCGGGAACAAAATTCAAGCTCTCAGTTTCTCGACCCCTGTTCTTGTTCTTCCTATACAGATCTACAGCGTCCCTGGTAGCAGAGAATATTTTTCACATATTTTCTACACATTTAACGAATATATCGTAGGTTTTGGAAATATTTACCAGACATTTGTAATATTTCCAAGACATAACCCCTCGCTTTTGAGCTCATATGATAAAGAACAATACGATTCGGTAACAAGTGACAATCGACCTTATGATGATATGAAAGTGTGATGTGTACATACCAAAAAGTGAAAATATTTATAAAACTTTTCTGCAGACTGGGTGCACCAAATTCTCTTAAAGTTTAACACGTGATTGTGGAGGCCTCGAGGAATATAGCTGATATATTAGTTTTTCCAAGTCTCACAAATCTGATATTTCGGCTTGAAGAGGAGCATTAATTTACTAAGCAGATATATTTACATTCCTAGGTCTCACAAATCTGATATTTCGGCTTGAAGAGCAGCATTTATTTACTAAACGGATATATTTACATTCCTAGGTCTCACAAATCTGATATTTCGGCTTGTAGAGGAGCATTTAGTTACCAAACAGATATATTTCCGTCCCGAGGTCTCACAAATCTGATATTTCGATTTGAAGAGGAGCATTTATTTACGAAACGGATATATTTCCGTTCCGAGGTCTCACAAATCTGATATTTCGGCTAGAATGTAGAGGAGCATTTAGTTACCAAACAGATATATTTCCGTCCCGAGGTCTCACAAATCTGATATTTCGATTTGAAGAGGAGCATTTATTTACGAAACGGATATATTTACATTCCTAGGTCTCACAAATCTGATATTTCGGCTAGAAGAGAAGCATTTATTTACTAAGCGGATATATTTCCGTTCCGAGGTCTCACAAATCTGATATTTCGGCTTGAAGAGAAGCATGTATTTACTAAGCGAATATATTTACATTCCTAGGTCTCACAAATCTGAAGAGAAGCAAAAAGACTCCGGTCTCCAGATTTTTGGAGGGCCAGGGCTCCCTCGATGAATTCGGGCACCGATTTGCAAGGGGTGCGCGTCGTTATCCCGCTATCTCTAATATCGGAGCTAGCCGGCCCTTTCCTCGGGCCATTCGGACCATTTGCAAGCCTCGGATGACGGAGCGAAGTAAATGGAGTGGACATTGGCCGGCATATGCTCCGTGGCATGGCGACTCCTGATATGTTCGGTACATGTCGGGATATGCCGGCCTCCACGCCTTGTAACACTCTATAGAATATTCGCCGTGCGCGGAACGTCCGCGCGGTGAACCGGAAGTCCCAGATAACATTCACGGCACCGGCCACGTGATTTATATGACCACCCGCTATCAGGATCAGCTCCGAGCACCGCGACGACCCCCTTTGCAGAAAACGCAATTTTTACCACAAAAAGGCACAAAGCGCTCGCCGCACCTAAAACGAAAGAATTTCAGATATGTGCCCATAATTATGAAAGTGGTCTAAGTCAAAATTGAAAAAAAAATGCGTTTATCAGTTATTTCACGCCACATTATTTCAAACTAAATTAATTCTATGTAATTTCGAAACAAAAAATATATGACTTAGACCACTTTCATAATTATGGGCACATATATTCTTGAATTATCTCATTTATAAAGGCATACCTTCCTATCCGACGTAAGAATACGATGGTGAAAGAAGAATTTTCAATTCCTAACCTCAACTCCACTCCTACGTAACTCCTGAAAAATTTTTTTTTAACGTGAAAGTGAACGTCGAAGAGGTAGTGTCGTGAAAGCGGCGTCAAAGAGGTCTTATTTATGAAACTTTTCATCGAACTGGGTGCACCGAATCGTTTCTAACTTTATCAATGTGAATATAAGGAAGGTCCTGACCTCCATGAAATGTCTATTTTTCCGTAATTTGTTAATAGACCCTTAGAAAATTTCTTATAATATATGAAATTTCATGAGTCAGGACCTTCTTTAAGTCTCCATATTCACGTCGTAAAGTTTGAAACGATTCGATGCACCCAGTCCGGGGGAAAGTTTCATTGACTCCTCGGATGCCATTTTCAGGTGTCCTTAATTGTTTAACATATTTCTTTGAGATGAGAGTTTGAAGGTTCGGAATTTCGTAGAAAGTACGGGAAATCTTTCGAGGATTTGACGTGGTTTTTGTGAAGATAAAGAAATCTTACTTAGAGGGGTCTGGGGGAAGGAGGCGGTGGGACGTTCCAAGACCTAACCTCTCTTTGGAGGCATTAAAAAGGTCCAAACGAGTAAGAAGGGCGACCGACGGGGTCCGATCGAGAGGAGAGGGTCAGTGTATCCTTCCTCGTCCCGGGCCAATCAATAGGAGAAAATAAATTGATAGTTGTCGAGCGGCGGGACGTCCCCTAATATTTCCGAATGTAATCGAGGGGGTGTGCGCTCTTCGAGAAGGAGGACCGCGGAAAAAAAGCGAAAAAAGTTGGACAATGCCGCGAGGGGGTGGCAGCGCCGGCCTGGGGGTGTTTTATTGGCTGGTTTCCGTGGGGTGGAAATTCCGAATAATGTACGAGATGTTTGTGAAGGATGCTTTAACCCTCTGGGCCGCGTGCACCACCCTGCTCAATCGACGAGCATGGATCTAAGAAGAAGGGGATGTCAAGTATTGCGGCTCGGTCAAGTTCCAGACTCTTCCACATCGGATATTTAGAAGATCGAATTGTTTGTATGTCCTCGGAAAGAATGTACATCGCAATTTCACGATTTTTATACCTTATCGTACCTTATCGATGACAATTATCGTGGCACAGTCAAGTTCCAGACTCTTCTACATCGGAAATTTAGAAGATCGAATTATTTGTATGTCCTCGGAAAAAATGTACATCGCAATTTCACGATTTTTATACCTTATCGTACCTTATCGATGACAATTATCGTGGCACAGTCAAGTTGCAGACTCTTCCACATCGGAAATTTAGAAGATCGAATTATTTGTATGTCGTTCGGAAAGAGTGTACATCGCAATTTCACGATCTTTGTACCTTATCGATGATAATTATTGCAGCACGGTTAAATTGCAGACTCTTGCACATCGGAAATTTAGAGGATCGAACAGCTTGTATGTCTTCAGAAAGGCTTTATAGCATTAAAATCACATTCTGTATATCATGCGTGGATGATCGTTCCGCTCTGCGCAGCTTAATTGCAAAATTAAAAG